CTCCTAAATCCTTTGCTGGATTTTGAAAAGAGCCTCAGCAGAATCTGTTTTGTTTTTGAAATGGTGCTCTGTTGATACAGCTAGGAAGAGGGCACTAAAACTCTGTAACTGTGTTCTCTTGGTGTGATAAATAAGCAAAATCCCGTGTTCGTACATCACTTCCACTTTCCCTGCTGTGTAACTAATCGTTTGCCTCTACAGACACAAACTAATGCTAATTTTCGCCTTCAGGGGAAGATTAGTCTGCCATTTCTCTCTGCCATGTGTGATGGCACCAAAGTGAAGTCCATATAATGGACTTGTCTCTGGTATCTCTTGTCCTTTCCACCCAGCCCCTCCTGTCAATATCCTGAGGTGTTCAGCGAACCTAAGTGTGTGGATTCTCATTCTGCCTGACGGCCTCATTATGGGCAGTGAGGCCTGCTTTGATTGACAGCTGAGGTGGAGCAAGTGCTGTGAGTCATATGCTTCAGTAGCTGTTGTACCACTGGCCTTGGGCTGACAGGTGAAGCAGATGGTGTAGCGTTGTGAAGTGACGACCTGCAACCACAAATCCAGTCACTCAAATGAATTCAATTGATTGTGATGTGCAGTCTAAGAAAGTAAGGTTCCAGAATGTCAGCCTCCCATTTACTTTCCCTGGTGTTTAGCTAAGTTGTAATAGTACTGGAATGTATTTTATTTAAATCTAGTTTTGTTGCATCACATCAGAAATAGTAAAAATAGAAGTTTTTTCTGTATAATTTCATTCTTAATAACTATTAAATATTAGCTATAACAATATTAAATTTTGTCACCACTCACACGAGATTTAGTTTTGACTTTTTATTTTATTTTATTTATTTACTTACTTATTTTTTGGTACTGGGGATCGAACTCAGGACCTTGTGCTTGCAAGGCAGGCACAGTGCCACTGAGCTAAATCCCCGGCAGTTTATACTTTTTTTAGAAGATTCTTTACAACAAATGTTGGCGCACACATTCTCTCTCTTAACTACTTTCTCATTAAAGTTCCCATTCCTCATTCTATGTTCAAGAATCATTTTTAGTCCACGTCTCTCATCGCCAAGTCTTTACTGCTTTTGAAAGGTATGGAGAACTATATACTAAGCTTCTCTTATCTGCTTATTGAGCCCTGCCAGTTTAGTAGGTCTGAAATCTGGCTGCATAGGTAATTTGCTTATTTTCTAAAACAACAATAATAACAACAAAAGTCCACAGGACCATAGGCCTCCCTCCAGAGCCCCTGTGGCATGACTCTGGGATGCATCCTGGGAATAGATGCTCCTACAAAGGCGCCTCATGTAAGGTGCATGCAGGGTCGGGTTTGGGAGCTTCCGCCTGGTTGACTGATTTAGCACAATGTCTTCTCTGAACTTTCCAAATAACCTATAGTAGAGCAGCCAAAACACTGAGAGCTAATTCATAATCCATGGTAAATTGTTCATAAAATAATTCCTTAGAAGTTTTACAATGTAATTTATAATATACTGTAATTTAAAGATAGAACTTCGGTTCCTTCACTGTATCTTTGAATTTTCTGAGGCCTTAAATTAAAACTAAATTATCAGGATATTTATTCTCTAAATTTCATATTATAACAAGCTTCCTTTTCACCTTATAAAAATTCTGATATTAAAAATTATGTAAACCACCACTGACATCAATGAAAGACTAGCTATGGAATGAAATGAGTACAAGTGGATTTTTTCCCCCACAGTACTGGGGACTGAACTCAGGGCATGTCCACTAAGTTACATTCTGCCCTTTAAAAAAGAATTATTATTATTATTTTTTGGTACTGGGGATCAAACTAGGGTCCTTGTGCTTGCGCAGCAGGGAGCGACACCACTGAGCTAAATCTCCAGACATAAAAAGGAATTATTTTAAAACAGCATCTCACTAATGCTAAATTGCCCATGCTGGACTTGAACTTGTGATCCTTCTGCCTCAGCCTCCAGCCTCAGTGCTGGGAATATGGGCATGTATCACCATGCCTGGCTACAAATGGACTTTTAATGGTGTCAAATTATTCTCTTGTGATAAGTGAGAGTTTAATTGCTATTTAGAAAGTATATCATGCATCTTGTTATCTCTAGTGTATCCTGTAACTAGAAATAGATCATCTACTGTTAGAAAACACACTGAAATAGGATGCATATAAAGGGGACTTTAGTTGTCTGATTAAGCAGAATCCACCAATTTTCTTGTTTCCTTCGAGGCTAGTCCTTATCTCCACATTCTATACAATGGCTCAGTGCAATTCACTTTGTAATTTTAATCCCCTATGCTTGAATGTAGTGCTTGTTTACAGAGTTTAAGACAGAGTTCTCTGTCTCCCAGGTTCTTAACACCTTGCTCCAAAGAATCATTTCATACTCATTTCTTAACTATGGCCTCTAACTTCTAGTATATTTGGCAAAAGAGTCAAATATGTTATGAAAAAGTTGGAAATATCTGATAAACTGTACATCCACTAAAGCTAGTCCCATTCAAATAATCATTTAATTGAATTTACTTCTTAAAAAATCCTGTGACTTAGTTACTTTTAATATCATTCTAAAAATGAGCACAACAAAATCTTAGTGATAATAAATAACTTGGCCTAACATCAGAAAATTACTACCAGTTGTTATTGGAAATATTGTGGTAGAACTGGCATTTGAAACCTGTTTTCTTCTGGCTTGTGGTAGTACTCTTTCTGTTATACCACATTAAAAGTGATACAGTCCTATACAATTGCCTAATATAACACTTTAGTTTTACTCCCTGTATCTTCCTTTATATATATACATACACACAAAAATACGATCTGGTCTATCGTGTTCTTGTCAGATCAAATAACTGATGAGTCAAACTCGCTGCTCCAGATACATTCATCTTAACTCCTGTTCCACATTCCCTTCCTCTGAATGAATTGTAAGGAGTTCTACATCACTTTTATTCTCCCAAACCTAGGCATTACTGATATTTTGGATTAGTAGCTCTTTGTTGTGGCGACCCGTAGGTGTCTCAGCAGGATCCCCAGTGTTAATCCACTGGATACACGCACATAGCACTACCTAGTGGGAAGATCCAAAATGTCTCCATAGTGTTTGCCAAATAGCTGCAGAGTAAAATTGGCCCAGAAGGGAACCACTGTTCAAAACTCACGTGAGGAACTATCAAAAAATGTAATCTCTCAGTCTTTTCCCTGTATATTAGAAATTGCAAGCAATGTATTGTTCAGGCATTGTGTTAGAATCAGGCGTATTATGCTGTGCTAACAATGGCCAAACTGCCTCAGCACAGCACGCTGTTCTCCGCCCAGCTCTTCTCGCTAAGGTAGCTTGCTGTTCCTGGTGGCTCCAGTCAGTCTTCCAGCAGCTCAGCTCCCACAGGTGCTTTCATGATCCTTTCAGCGGGGAAACAGAGAGCATTGAGAGTCACGCGCGCAGTCTTATATATGTGCCCCAGGAATGGCACGTGTTACTTCAGCTCACACTTGACTGAGCAAAGCAAGTCGAATGGCCGTGTCTAATTCTGAAACAGAGGGGACATTTAGTCCTGCATCCCTGGAAGGGAATACTGGTGAGCAACAGTAAGGTATACCATAGTTATCTAATGACTCATCTCTGAATGCCCTATCATGACCTGAGTTAAGCTGTAGGTGGCATGATTCAAGTGAAATTTCAAGTGTAGGATTCAGTCATTGGTTCTGGAGAGAATACATGCATGTGAAATAATAAGTGAACAAGATGATACATGTTATGTGCAGTAAATTATAATAATATGCTTCAAATTTATATATTAACTTGTAAAACATTTACATTTGTGTAATTTTTACATTCTGTGATATTGTCTTTCAATTAAAGAGTATGGTATGTCTCTAGATTTTGTTGTTTTTAAATATTCTCCATTAAAATTTCTTTGATCTGGGCCGGGGATTTAGCTCAGTGGTTCCGCTGCCTGCCTTGCAAGTGCAAGGTCCCAAGTTCAATCCCCGGTATAAAAATAAATAAATAAAAATAAAATTTCTTTGATCTTTTTGTTTAAATGTACTCCTACATGCTTTATAGTTTGTTACTATTTTTGAATAAGATTTCCCCCTGCTCTATTTCTTCCTAGTAAAAGAAGGTATTGATTTTTGTATATTTTCCTTCACCCAGTTGTCTTGATCCGAATCATTTAAATACTTCATATAACTTGTGTTGTATACTCAAATCGCTCAGTGAAGTACTTCTCAAGGTGTGGACCCTGAGCCAGTGGTTTTATTGTCATCCGGGACCTTACTGGAAATCCACATCCTTGTACTCAGCTGAGACCTACTGGATCAGAAACTCTGAATGTGGGTTCTGCCTTAGGGCAACTTTCAGGTGTACAATCGTACTTGAAAAAAGTGATAATATTTTCTCTATTTTTATGGTAGTAATATTGATATTCCTTTTCTTACCTAGCATCAGATGAAACAAAAAATAATAGGTATTAATGGAATTAATCTTGATTTTGATTTTATTTAAAAGAAGCTTGGTTTTTGTTAGTTTCTGCTCTTTGGCATATTTGAAATGCCTTGTACTTTTTGAAGTTTTTATATGCAGAGTTTTAAACAGGAATGACTGCTGTATTTAGCAAGTGTTTTTCAGAATTTATTGAGATAATTATAGTTGTTTTCACCTATAATTGGCTAGTATTTGAAATGTGTTCATGGGTGTTGTGCATTTTATAGGTTCATGGAATAAATACAACTTGGTGAACTTATTGTAATGTGCTGCTAAATTTGATTTGCTGTTGCCTGGTATTTCCTGGCATCCTAGTTAATTGAATTTTTTGTTTTCCGCACACCAGCAATTCTAGTACTCTTTACTACAATAATAGTATTACTCTTCATGTCCTTAAAAATCCAGCTTTTCTTGTACCGGATTGAAAGGTTAATTGCATTTTAACACTATTTTATTTATATGCAGTTCTTTAGACTTCAGATCAGAACAACAATAATCGCTGACCCCATATGTTCTCGCTAGAATTCTACCAAATATCTGGCTGGGTAGCTGCCCTCGGCAAGTGGAACATGTGACCATCAAACTGAAGCATGAACTGGGGATTACAGCTGTCATGAATTTCCAGACGGAAAGCGATATTGTCCAGAATTCTTCAGGCTGCAACCGCTACCCTGAACCCATGACCCCTGACACTATGATTAGACTGTATAAAGAAGAAGGCTTGGTCTACATCTGGATGCCAACAGCAGACATGAGTACTGAAGGTAAGATCAGAAGTGACACTGACTCTTGCTGAGTGTGTCCGAGAAACCATTACTGTCTATCTGTAATTGAACATCTTAAATACAAATGGTAGACATGGAATAAATATAAGACTTTAACTTTAATACATTTAATATATATCTTGTGACTCTTGGACTAAGATTCTGTATATTTATTGTATATGTGGCATTATACCGTGGCTAGTTACACAGTGGTAAAGACAGACAGATTCAACTCCTGTCACCATGAAGCTTATAGTCCTTTAGGGATGACAAACATTAATCAAATAAGTAAATAGAAATTGAAGCCCACGATGAGTTGTCTTGTTAGATACATAGATACTGTTATGAGAGCGTGTACAGATAATCTAGGAAGTAATTTTCTCAGCAAGTCATGTTTGAGGTAAGGCCTGAGTGCAGACTGGGGGGAAGAGTGAAGTAGGAGACACTGTCCCAAAAAGGAGTAGTTAGAAGACCCCTGTGGCAGGAGAGGGTGAGATGTGTTGCAGGAGCTCGAAGACCAGTGTGGCTGCAGGTCTGAGAAGAAGAGGAGAGCTCAGGGGAGAGCTCTACCGGGATTTGTGCTACACCTAGGACTTTATACAGTCCTACGGCAACGACAAGGAGGCACAAGTGTAGAATTTGCCCAGCTGCGTCTTTTTTCTCCCAGAGTGCACTTTGATTGCAGCATGGAGAATGAATTGGAGATGGTCTGGGGTGGGGTGGGGGGGTCACTGAGGAAGTGAGTGCCACAGTTCGTGTGGGAGACGATGTGAGAGGAATCACACATACAGCAGCCGGGCTGATGAATGCTACTGAGTCTGAATTGATCGCACAAGTTCTGGTGAAGCAGGTGTTTGTGGAAAGGGAATTAATTGTGCGACTTGGGTGCTCCTGAGAAAGCAGACAAATAAGGCATGGTTTTGATCTAATGGTAAGAGGCAGTAACTCAACTTCAGAACTAATCACAGCTCGTAGAAGAATGGAGTGAGAGAGGCATGAGTCACGTGCCTGGGAGGGTTATGTCCTCGGAGGAGCCCCACTCTGAAGGAACCCGGGGAAGCTGTGAATGCCGTGGGCCTTGCGGTAGGCATAGCTTTGACAGGGAGATGTGAAGGGAGGAAATGCATACTAGGAGGAAGAAACAGACCGTGGCCAGAGGCATAGGATTTAAGAGGAATGATCTATATCTCCACTTGCTTATTTGGTATAATGTAACAGCCTGATAGCCTGTTGAAAGGAGTGGACGAAATGATCTACAGCCGAGAAAACCAAGTTGTACTGATAGTATCAACAGTGTATCAGCAGGGGGCAGCAGAGAGCCGTGGAAATGGCACAGGCTACAGAAGTTCGGTGACTTGCTGTTCTGGGGGAAATAAGGCAGGCAGTGATGCCTGGCTAGGGAACCAGATTGTCAGCCCTCTTACCTGCCATATATGTTATGCATCAAACATTCCTAAGAAATTTACATGCATTAACTCACTTAATTCTCCCAACAAGACTCTGGGCAGTATTGTAGTTATCTCTAGTTTGCAGAGTAAGAAATTGAGATACAAAATGTTAAGTAACCTGCTCAGGTCACAGAACTAGAAGGAACAGGCTGAATTTCAGGGTTGGCAACCTGATTCAGAACACTGCTTCAGAGACCAGACAAGGAAGCTTCTCCCTACAATCGCACACCTGCTCTTCATGCAGATTCTGTACACTGACATGAATTCAGGCCCTCGTGTGTGTGATCAGCTGGAGCTATGCAAAGCCATAAGTCGGGGCGGGGCGGGGGGGGGGCGGCTAAGCTTCCCAACAGCCAGTGGTCCACAAGAGACCTTGAGGAGTGTAGGGAGCGTCCCTGCTCACTCAGTCCTTTGCATAGACCTCCTGGCCACGCCGGGCCCCTCTGTGCATCAGTCTGAGCTGTCACTGAGGATGGGGTATAATTTTTTTGGTGAAGTTAGGGAGAGTTATCGACAGTTTGGATATTCCTGTTGGTAATTTGATCCAAGAAAGCATGATTTAGTCTTAAGAGCACTGCCCTTTCTCAAGAAATTTTTTTTTGTATTAAATTCTTTTATTGGTACATTGTAGGTATACAACACAATTACATTTCTCATTGGGAATCGTACCTTTACATAATGCATCTTGGTTCTTATTTTTTCCCCATTCCTAGCCCTCCCTTCATGCCCTCCACCCTTCCCTATTTACA